TGTCCTCCCATTGTTCATCAATTTACTCAAGCGGGCCCAGTAACATCTCCATTGTGAGACTTGTTACTGTGTTTGGCATATCGAATACGTCAAGGGTAGCTTGCCAGGCTTTGCCGTGCGGGCAAGAGACTCTTGATAGCTTGCCAGGCTCTCTGAGAGGGGCGGGGGAATTGAACCCAGGTCGGCTGCGTGCAAGGCAAACACCCTACCCGCTGCGCTATTGCTCCAGCCCTCTTTCAAGAGATCTCTTTTAAGAGATCAAATACTCTTGAAAATTTATATTAAACAGTTAACCCCCACAAATAGCTAAAGCAATTCTTGAGAAAAAGATGATAGAAGGCATCACCTTCCCCAACTTCAAATGGTATTACAAAGAGGTAGTAATGAAAAGAGCATGGTATTGTAATAAAGACAGACCCATAGACCATTGAAATAGAGTTGAATATCCTGACAAAGACCTCAAATATAGAATCACTTAATGTTTGATAAAGGAGCAAGAAATATGAATTAAGTACCTTGAAATCAGCTTACGGCAGAGCCTGGCAAGCTACCCGTGATGTATTCGATATGCCAAACACAGTAACAACAAAGTCTCCAATGGAGACGTTATTGGGCCTGCTCGAGCAAATCGATGAACAACGGGAGGACAGTGACAGTTAAAGAAAGAAATCAGATTAACTAAAGAGGTAAAGAATGGTGTTTCACTAATAAAAAGATAATAAAATAAAAATAAAAAGAGAAAAATAAATTTAAAAAAGATGTAAAGAGGAGCAAGGAAAGCCTCTTCAATAAGTGGTGCTGGGAAAACTGGGCAACTGCACGCAAAACTGAATAACTACATGGAAAAAAAATGAAACTAGAACTGTATCTCATAACATTGACAAAAGAGTTAATTCAAACAGTATGAAAAATCTCGAGATTAGTTTGGGGAGACAGTACCAATAAGGTGCTTAGCAAATTGCAGTGAAGAGCCAGGGCACTTAATTCATTGCAGGAGTAAGCCCTGAGCACAGTTGGCTGTGGCCCCCAAACAAAAACAAATAAAATCAAAAACAATAACTTTAATGTTAGACTAGAACCCATAAAATACATTTAGGAAGACAGAGGAAAAATTATCTAGGATATAAAACTCAGAGGTGCTTTCAGCGATTCGATTCCACTGCAAAGATAACCAAAAATGCCAACAAATGGAACTAAATAAAATTAAAATGCTTATTTTTACGGGAAAAGAAACTCAGGCTAAAATGAAAAGATACCTTTAATTTTAAGAAGAGAAAATATTTGTACACCATGCATGAGGTATACACGGCTATTTGTCAACTTAAATAAATCACTCAAGAAAGCAATAATCCCGTAATAAATGGGGAGAGTCTAACAGATACTTCTCTGAGGAAGACATACAATGACATATGAAAAAATGCTCATGATCACTTATTATCGGGTACACATTAAAAGCACACATTAAAACAACAGTGAGTTCATCTCACGCCAGTAAGAAATGGTATATATCAAAAAGTCTGTAAACAGATCAGATTAGGTGAGGATGTGGTTGAAATATTTGCTCTTGGTGAGAATGTCGTCTGATAAACCTCTGGGGAAAAAAACAGTTATGGGAATTCCTTAAAAAGTTAAGAATTGAACTCCCATATGACTCAGTCATTCCACTTTTTTGGCACCGAAGCCAAACCAAAAACATTCCTTTGGAAAGATATATACAGACTTATGTTCATTGTGGTGCTTCCTGCAATAGCCAGGATATGGAAGCAGCCCAAATATCTAATGACAGATGAATGGAATATTGTGACTGTAAGTAAGATGAAATCATGCAGCTCACTTCATTTGGATGGAACTGGAAGGTATCGTGTTAGTGAAACAAATCAAAGGAGAACAATACTAGATGCTCTCAATGATCTGTGGAATAGAGAGAAATAAAACAAGGGAATAGATAGTATCAAACCTTGGATTATAAAATGTATTGGCAAAGAGTGGGGGAAATGAAGAGTGAAGCAGAAGTGACTTAAAGACAGTGGTGGAAGTTAATGGGCAATTTGTTTGTGGTGGTGTGTATAATCATAATTTATAATTATAATGCTATAAACTTTATCACTGCTGTAGCCATATTAAACTATAATGAAAAATCAGGCAGTATTGGAAGCAGGGAGTCAGTGCCACATTCAGGGTGCTTTCCATTCTTGGTAGCATGTGCAAAGACATGTAAGGAACTAGAGATGTCCTCTGTTAAAAAGGAGAAAGTGAAGTTTATACCTCACAGAGCCGTAAGGAGAACCAAAGAGCTAGGACAAGAAATGAAAAGTAAGTATAAGACTAAGTAGCCAGAATAGAGTCTATATTTACAAGAATGGGAATTAAGAAATAATTATGCTAGTCAGGAAAGAAGTCTGATGTCATTTTCTTGACTTATTGCTGTTTCCACTATGTGCAAAGTTCTTTCCCATTTCTACATATTAAAATCAGAGAGAAGAAAAGCTCCTACCATAGAGGCAGGCACTGGACGGGGGTGGGGGGGTGATGGGAGGGAACTTGGGGACACTGGTGCTGGGAAATGTACACTGGTGGAATGATGGGCATTGGAATACTGTATGACTGAAATCTAATCATGAACAACTTTGTAAGAGATATTGATTTTATTGAATCACTTTCTCACAGTATAAATAAAAATAAATGAAAAAGTTAAAAAAATCTGTCCGTTCTTCAAGATCAAGCTGTAAAATTCCATTTATTGATTGGTTCATCCAATATTGATCTGGATGCTTGCTACATCTGCTTAGAAAAACTTGATATGAATGGCATACATTTCCGTTCCATAGAGCACATAGACCAGCTAAGAAATAACATTTTTTATGAAAAAAAATCTGATAAAAATCTTGAAGCATGTACTAGAAAAGTTGTAGTTTTAAATTACTTGTTTGAACTCAGTGATTAGTAATTTTTTCATTTCTTATCACTTTTACTCCTTTCTGCCTTGTAGTAATGATTTTCTATTAAATTCCTTCATAGAGAATAGGGCTAGCATTTTATAGAATGAAGTGAAGAAATTCTTAGAAAACATTACATAAATAGTAAATATAATAACACTAGTCAAAATTTGAAAGATTATTGTCTCTGGATGTGATTCTAATAATTTCACATATCAATTAATTACTCTTAAGTCCAGAAGTAGGTGTCATTAATATTACCATTTTAGAAATGAGAAAATCTCAAAGATATTAAGCAATCTGCCCAAGGTCAGAAAGGTGGTAAGAATAATGGAATTTTTAGTTCTCTGCAGCCAGGTTTCAGAGTATGTGGGGAAAATGACAATACCTTCCCACTTTCTTAAGAACTAGCACCCTGTGGTGCTTTGGGGGCTGCTCATGGCTTGGTGCTCAGGAACATGCAGTGCCCAGGGTCAAACCCAGCATGTGTTCCACCCGCTTTGAGCCCAGAAATAGTTCTTAACAAAGAACAATAGTAGCTTCTCAGTGAAGCTTTATATTCAGGATATAAAGAGAGTGACTCAATAGAAGATCAAATTAATGTTGTACTAGCAGTACAAATATGAATTTCAGCTTGGGAAAGAGTAGAAAGTTACCTAGTGATAGAATCTCTTATAAATTATTTCTGTCTAGAGTTGTGTGATGTATTGTTTCTTCAGTGCTTAGGCTTACAGTAACTGTGTGTGTACAGTGAGAGAAAGGAAGGGTGTCCCCATTCACAGAGGATGGATACAGAGGAAGAGGGACTGTATAAAATCTCCAGGCAGGGCCAGGGGGAGGCCCCGATGGCTCTTACCCTAGCCACCCATGTTCGGGGGCCTCAGACTGCTCCCCCAGCCGGGGCGGCCTGGGTCATGGGGCACACAGTGGGTGAAACGAGGGCCATTCTTCTCTCTTTGTTCCCCTTACTAGTCTCTCCACACTCCATCATGCTGCCCTGCACCCTCTCCTCTCTCTCTCTCTCCAGCTCCTCCAGCTCCTCCAGTTCTCTGCCTCTCCAACTCCCTTGTCTCTCCAACTCCTCCACACTCTGTGTTGACACTGCACCCAGATTTTGTTACCCAGGTAGCAAAATCAACATAAGAAAGCTCTTCCTGAGGGTCCACCAACTTCAAAGGGCCACCGTCTAAGAAGTATTCCAAAGCCCTTCCTGACTGCCTCAGGCAAAATACCTCTTACGGTGGTTTTCTCCTTTCCTCAGTCCAATAACTCTATCAACATCGTAATACTAGTTATTTTTGTATGGACACAGTAAGAGACACATTGAGGCTTGTAGGGAAGCTCTCCTGGGAACATCTTGCCACAGACTCAGACTACAGAGCACAGGCCAGATTAATCTTTCCTAACCATAGCAGGGTCTGAGTCTAGTTATTACTTTTTGGATCATGACAGCATTTGTCCATGACCAAGCTCTTAACTTAGTTAAACATTAAGCATTTTGGCAAGGCTCATCTTGATGCCAGGGTAGCATATAGCTTACCGCTTGCCCTGGTTCCACCCAGTCCCTTGTTGGAACCCTGCTTTTGGGGGGGTGCTAGGAAGTAAGGGCAGCTGAGGCTTAGGTGAGAGAACAGATGCCCAGGAGAAAAATATCACAAAGAGTCATGTTACAAAAGCATAGCATATACTGCTTCTTGTGTCCATACAAAAAGGACATTGCTGTGAATAAACTATGCAAAGGACTTAGGGAGAAGAGAAAAACAATATTTACAAGACAACAGAGCACAAAGTTTACAAATAAACACAGAGGAATGGGAGCACTGTGATGGGAGCATCCCAGTAAACCTAAGCAACCTGAGGCTATGCAAGAAGGACAAAACAATGTTATCCTACAAGGGACATAAATTTTTATCTCGAAATAATAGAATCAATTAAACATTTATAAAGTAAAATGAATTTATTCAAATATTTCTTGGTTTTGACCACATCTGTAAGAGAGGCTCCTGAGTGTCTCCTATACTAACAAAGAGCTGATCTTGCCAAATTTTTCTATCAACAATGCAGGTATATACACGGTCTGTGATTGAACCACTTCCTGTTACTCCAACTCGAGATGTGACTACATCTCCCATTTCACCTACTGAGACTAGTACCCCTCCATCAGACGCGCTGACCCGGAATACTGAAAAACAGAAGAAGAAGCCTAAAATGTCTGATGAGGAGATATTGGAGAAATTACGTAAGCACTTTGTAGCTTTTTGAACTTTCATCTATCAGAGGAAATTATAAAAGGAAGGGCTAAAGGAAGGAACTCAGTTCCTGAAGGTTCTGTGGTTCTTTCTAATCATCACGGGCGTCTTAGCCAGACAGTGCTTCTCCTGACCAAGTGCTTGAACTCGCCTTTTCTGCCTCACCTGCCCCACCTGCCCTGGTTAGGTACTAGCTTTCATCTAGTGACATAGGAGTATTGAGTTTTAAAAACAAACAAACAAACAAAAACAAAGCCTTGCTGATACCAGGTGGGAACTTTTGCTTTAATTGATTTTTGAAGCTTGCCATCGATGTGTAAGAGGACAGATTTGCCATCCTTGGTTGTTGGAAAAGAAGAAAGGGAAATTAACATTTTATGAGTGTGCTCTATGTACCAAATGACAAACCAGACATTTTCTTGCTTTTTTTTTTTTTTGGTTTATTCCTTACAAAAACCCTGTAAAGAGACAAATTAAAATAATTATTTTTGTAGTTAAGATTTTTAAGGCCTAGAGATCCAAATTATACTGGCTCCATGCTAAATATTATGCATAAAGATAGGACTGGGTTAAGAACAAAATCTGTGCTTCTGTAATGAGAGCATGCTGTATATTGCTTAGGTGATAACCTTCAGTTTTGTTTTCTTTAAAAATCAAAAAATGGGGTTTATTAGGGTAGTTTGTTTCTGTGTTTTAGTAAACTGTAAAAAATTCATATTAGAGGAAAGAACTGGGTTTTTGATTTGTTGGCTTCGCAAAATTGAACAAGGTTTTTGATTAAATTTTTATACCTATCTATTCTAGAGAATATTTGATGTGATTGATTTGGCCAAATCTCCCAACTGACTTTGCTTTCTAAAGCTGAAGTTTCTGTAATGAGAAACTTAGTAGTAGCTAGGAAGCCCTCAGTTTCTCCAGATAATTCTTGTTTGGAAAATGTTCATTCATTTAATTTGCTTTTGTCCAGAGCTACTTTGAATTGTTGAAGTGGGGTTTGAGAGATAGCACAGGGGTAAGGCACTTGCCTTGCATGTGGCCGATTGTGGCTTTTTTATTGTAGTTTGATCCCCAGCACTGCTTGTGGTCTCCCAGCATTTCTTCGAGTGGTTTCTGAGCACAGAACCAGGAATAAATTCTGAGTAATTTGTGTATGCTTCAAAACCCAAAGAAAAGAATGTTAAAGTTAAAACAACAACAACAAAGGCCACAAAACCCTTACCTAGCTATCTATTTATTTCTCTTTGTAGACTTTTTCTTTGCTTTGGGCGGGTGGGGGGGCTCTACTTTGTGGTGCTGAGGAGACCGTATAGTGCTAGGGAGCAGACCTGCAGCTCCCGCGTGTAATGCACATGCATTCATCCTCTGAGCATCTCCCCCACCTTGAACTAGTCTTTTTTTTTTTTTTTTGGCTTTTTGGCTTTTGAGTCACACAGGGGAAACTCAGGGATTACTCCTGGCTCTGTACTCAAGATTTACTCCTGGTGGTGCTTCGGGGACCACATAGAATGATGTCGGGATGGAACCTGGCTCAGCTGCAGACAAGGCAGATGCCCTACCCGCTGTGCTATCACTCTGGCCCTTGAATTAGTCTCAATGGCACTAATAGTGCCATGTAGAACGTAGAATTATGGAAACATGGGAAGGTAATACTTCCCTAATCGCTCAATGTCTTAGGCAATTACTATTCTGTGGCCCACTAACCACCTCTCTTACATCTTTTAAAAAATGATGGTGATATGTTTTCATTTTCAGAAAAATATTTTAAAATTTTATTTGAGCTACTGTGATTTACAGTTCTGTTCATAGTAGTGTTTCAAGCATACAATATTCCAGCACACTTTTGTAGTGTTCCGCTTCCTCCATTCTCTCACTGTTTCCATACTTCATCTCCGCTAAATCCCTCTGTTGTTCTTGCAGATATTTAGGGAAGAAGATTAATACCTATACATTTTTTAAACATTTTATTGAATCATTGTGAGAAAGGTACAAGCTTTCATGTTTGGGTTACAATCATACAATGATCAAACACCCATCCCTCCACCAGTGCACATTCCCCACCACCAATCTCCCCATTATAGCCCCCTTTCCCACCCTCCCCCTGCCTCCATGGCAGACAGTATTCCCCATACTCTCTCTCTTTCTGCTTTTGGGCATTATGGTTTGCAATACAGACACTGAGAGGTCATCATGTTTGGTCCATTATCTACGTTCGGCACACATCTCCTATCCCGAGTGATTCCTCCAGCCATCATTTTCTTAGTGATCCCTTCTCTGTTCCATCTGCCCTCTCCCCTCCACTCATGAGGCAGGCTTCCAGCTATGGGGCAATCCTCCTAGCCCTTGTATCTACTATCGTTGGGTGTCAGCCTCATGTTATGTTATTCTATACTTCACAAATGAGTGCAGTCTTTCTATGTCTGTCCTTCTCTTTCTGATTCATTCACTTAGAAATACCTCTACATTTAAGATTAAATGAGATCCTATAAATGAAAAGTATGAAAACTTAGTAAATTATATTTGACTGAACGCAAGGCAAATGTCCTACCTCTGTGCTATCACTCCAGCCCCAAATGATATTAGTATAAAACATATAGGACTGGGAGAATGAAAACAAACTCCTGGTCATAGCTTTGCTCTCTTACCTTGTGGGGAAAGAGGAATATCTTCCTTTCTCGGGGCCTCAGTTTCAGCCATTGAATAGTGAAATCCAGCAAACTCTCAATCCTTTGTATCATAGGCCTTTGCATTTCAAGTGCTTCCTGATGGAATGCCCTTTTCTATATCTTCTTACTATCTATCTCAGTAATTTTCCTTTTTTTTTTCTATTTCTGTTTTTTTGGGCCATACCCAAGCTGTGCTCTGTACTCTGTACTCTTGGTCATGCTCAGGGTACCTTTTGTGGTTCTAGGAATCAAACTGGGGCTGTTATGTGCAAAGCAAATGCCTTACCCGTTTACTATATCTCTGGCCCAGCAATTACTACATTGTCATGGAATGTTATGTGAAATTACCTGTCTCTTTTATGTAATTGAGCTTCTTGAAAGCAGAAATTGACCTAATTTCATCTCATCTTGTTGTCCCAAGCACTCATAATAGGGCTTTGCACATAGCAAAGAAGAGTGTAACATAAGTGAATGTTTGTTGATTGAATAAATTTAAAAAATGAATGAATAACTTAGAAGAGTTTGGAAATGGAATCGATTACTATGAATGAATAAAAGCTGACAAGGAAATGAAATCTTTAGTAAAAAAATTTTGGGGCGGGGAAGCTAAGGACGTGTTATTATTGGCGTTAGAGTCATTTTTTAAAAATCTATGTCAAATCTGGAGTTTGGGGGAATCAAGGGGCTTATTTTTGGATCTGGAAAAAAGTAATGCATGGTCTCTTGTTTCTTTCAAAGGGAGCATAGTGAGTGTGGGCGATCCTAAGAAGAAATATACACGGTTTGAGAAGATTGGACAAGGGTTAGTAGGGGCATTTTCTTTCTTTAGACAAATGACTAAATACTGTATGTGTTTTTGTTTTGCGTCTCAGAAGCCTTGTTTTTTCTCCACCTCACTCCTCACTTACCTGTAAGTGTTAAGTTAGGCTGACTTCAGGTTTGGCAGAATTGTGCTTATTTATGAGAGATGTGTCATTAGCTGGCCATGTCGCTAAAAACGTCCCCGCAGTGAGAATGAACACCCTGTTTATTTTTTTAGCACAAAATCTGGTTTCTTAGTTATAGCTGTGCTTTTCCAGATTTATCCAGTTTGCTTGGTAAGTACTAAGACCTACCAGCACTCATACAATATGCCAGAGCCAGAACTGCAGACCCACAGCTTATGTTTTAGAACCTGTTTCTTTCTGGTGGATGCCAGAATTCATATCTTCTCTTCTTTGGTTCTTTCTCTTATTTTTTATGCTGACCTCAGTGTACTGACCTTAATAAATTCTAGCTGGATTCCTAATGTCTGCTGGCACAATGAATATTGTTAGGCACAATCTCTGCTTTTAAAGACCTTATATCTTCAGGAGAAGATAATCACAGTATACTATACTAAGATCAGCCTTTAAAATGATTGACAATTATTTTGAGTAGAAGAAGCCAGATATCAATGAGCATATAGTGTATTATTCTTTTATATAAGTTTCACAAACAGACAAAAGTAACAGAATCTAACAGAATAATGGTTGCCTCTGAAAACGGGTGTTGTTTGGAAAGGAGTAGGAAGGAACTTTCAGAATCATCTTACTGATAAAAAAATAATCAAGAGCATTTAAGATTTGTACAGATTAGGTAAAGTATACTTCTATACAAAGGAAAATGAATGGTATTTCCAAAGAACTAACCAAGGTGATAAAAAATTTAATAAAACTATCTGTCTTGTAAAAATTTTTCAGTATTAGTTGAAAGTTTTGTTTCTAATAAGGCCAGTGAAAATTTCTGTCTTCATTTGCTTTCATATTCATCCATGAACTTCTGAAAAGAAGACAAAATGTTACAGTGATGTATTTTTATATGCCATTCTACCATTTATCTACTGTTGGTACCTATCACTTAAATCACTTAACTTCCCGTTAGTCGTCGATTTGTTCGAGCGGGCGCCAGTAATGTCTCCATTTGTCCCTGTCGCGTGCTAGTGTAGCCCAATGGCATCTGTTCGCTCCGGGAACATGAAGGGCCTCAAACCGATCGTTCATGATCTTCACGAAGAAGTCTGACCATCTGGAAGGTGGGCCGCCACGCGGTCTTTTGACATCCCGTGGAATCCAGTCGGTAACAGCTCTAGTCCAGCGATCATCTTTAAATCTCATTACGTGACCAGCCCATCTGATTTTCGACACCTTGGCAAATGAGACAGCGTCCCTGATTCTTGATCGTCGATGGATGTCAGAACTCCAGATTCTTTCTCTCATTTGAGTGAAACGTGATATTCCAAGCATAGCTCTTTCTATTCTTCTTTGGGAGACCTGAATAGCGTTCTCATCTTGTTTGCGTAGGGCCCAGGTCTCTGAGGCATATGTTAATGCAGGAAGAACAGTGGAATCAAAGAGATGTGCCCAGAGCCGGAGGTTCTTCGTCCTCTTAGCTATTTCTTCGACGTTCTTGAAGGCGTTCCAAGCCGCTCTCTTCCTCCTGCGCAGCTCGGGTGCCAGGTCATTTGTCATGTTGACCTCTCGACCTAGGTACACATAGCTGTTGCATTCGGAGATGGTCGTTCCATTGAGAGCGAATGGGGCGTCAGGAACAAGGCTGTTTCTCATAAACATTGTCTTCGTAAGATTCAGCTGTAGTCCTACCTTTCCACACTCACGGTCAAAGTTAGCCAGCATTTGTGCCGCTTGGCTGATGTTTGGTGTTATTAAAACACTGTCATCAGCAAAGCGGAGGTGGTGTAGTTGCCGACCATGTATCTTCACTCCCATTCCTTCCCATTCCAGTCGTCGCATGATGTTCTCAAGGGTGGCACTGAAGAGTTTTGGTGAAATGGTATCATCCTGCCGCACCCCTCTCTTGACATCAACGATCACTTCTTTGTAGAATGGTGAGATCCTGGTAGTGAATCCGCAATACAGTTCACGGAGGATCCTGATGTATTGGGCTTTAATGCCCTGATTGGCTAGGGCTTCAATGACCGCTTCTGTCTCAACAGAATCAAAGGCCTTCTTTAAATCAATGAACGTTAAACAGAGCGGCATCTTGAACTCCCGAGAAACCTCAATGAGCTTGGTTATCGTGTGGATATGGTCGATGGTGCTGAATCCTTTGCGGAACCCGGCTTGCTCGCATGGTTGTCCTTCATCTAATGTTCTGCCAATCCTATTTAGGATGACTCGAGTGAACAACTTGTAGATGACAGACAATAGGCAGATCGGGCGATAGTTGCCAATGTCATGGATGTCTCCCTTCTTGAACAGTAGTACAGTCCTGCTGGTTTTCCATTGGGAAGGAACCTTGCATTCAGACAGGTAGCTAGTGAAGAGCCGAGCCAGTGTATTGATGAGTACTGACGGCAGGTTCTTCAGGTGTTCAGGTCTGACCTTGTCTGGGCCGGGTGCTGTTTGTTTCTTTACCGACGAAATGGCGTGTCGGATTTCGGAAGGGAGAACGTTGGGAACGACATACCCATCCTGTGGAATTTGGTATGTTGGCAAGTGGACATGGCTATGGAAGAGATTTGAGTAGAAGTCATGGATAATCTTCACCATTGCCCTTCTGGAAGATGTGATGGATCCATCAGAATGTCAGAGGGCAGTCATCTTGGTCTTGTAGTTGGCAAAGGACAGGCAGGAGTTACGAATGCTTTTCCTGGCTTTTGCCGCATCTACCAGCACTACTGCTCTTCTCTCTTTGAGGTCTTCCTTTATCACATCTCTGCACTGCTTTGCGAACTCGGATGTTTGCTTGTAGTTGTCTGAGGCATGCGCCAAGCACCACATAAATATGGTACATTGGTGCTATTAATAATTGCTTTTTAAAAAAACACCTAAAGATTTTTTCCTTGATAAGGAGCTCATATATCTATCTAATCATATGCTTGTTCAATTTAGAAATAATTAATACTAACCAGTGAACCTGAGTAGCTTTCTAGATCTTGGTAACATATTCCCTATAGATGTATTCCCCAAGTGTGCAGTTGCATCGACTATTCATAATAGCTGGAATCTGGAAACAACAAAAGTGCCTTAGAAGGGATGAGTAAAGAAAGAATGATGTACCACAAGGGCAGACAGATAGGAAAGGAAGAGGTCAAGCTATCACTATTTGCAGATGACATGATACTAAGAAAATCCTAAAGATTAAAAAAACCTTCTAGAAACAATAGGTTTGTATAGTAGAGTGGCAAACTACAAAATAAACACCCAAAAGTCCATGGCTTTCCTATATAAAATAATGAAAAAGAAGAAAGATACTTTAAAAAAAATCCTATTGTGCTTCAGAAAATCAAGTACCTTGGAAGGACCTATACAAAGAAAATTACAAAACACTACTTCAGAAAATAAGAGAGGACAGTAGAAAATGGAGACACATCCCCTGCTCCTGGATAGGGAGGATTAAGATTATCAAAACGGCAGTCTCCCCAAAGCACTATACAGATTGAATATGGTTCCTATCAGGATACCCATGACATTTCTTCAATGAAATAGATCAAACACTCCTGAAATTCATATGGAACAGTAAATCTCCACGAATAGCTAAATCAATCCTTGGGAAAAAGAAGATGGAAGGTATCACCTTCCCCAACTTCAAACTGTACTACAAAGCAGTAGTATTTAAAACAGTATGGTATTTGGCTAGAAACAGACCTGCAGACTAATGGAACAGAGTTGAATTCTGTCACAGAATCTCAAATATATGATCACTTATTAGGGTGTTTGCCTTGTGCACGGCCAGGTTGGCCACGCCAGGTTTGATTCCTCCACCCCTCTTGGAGAGTCCGGCAAGCCACCAAGAGTATCTCTCCCACACGGCAAAGCCTGGCAAGCTACTCATGACGTTTTCGATATGCCAAACACAGTAACAACAAATCTCACAATGGAGATGTTACTGGGCCCGCTCGAGCAAATCAATGAACAACGGGAGGACAGTGCTACAGTGCTAATCTTTGATAAAGGAGCAAGAAATGTGAAGTGGAACAAGGAAAGTCTCTTCAACAAATGGTGCTGGGAAAATTGGACAGCTGCCTGCAAAAAAAATTAACTCTGAATTTCTGTCTAACACCATGCGCAAAAGTCAAAATGGATTAAGACCTCAATATCAGACCTGAATCCATAAGCTACCTGGAGAAAAATGTAGGCATAACCCTCCATGACACTGAAGCTAAAAGCATCTTTAAGAACGAAACACCATTGCTCAAGCAAATGGAAACAAAACAGACATAAACAAACTGGACTGCATTAAACTAAGAAGCTTCTGCACCTCAGAAGAAACAGTAACAGGGGCTGGAGCGGGGGCTGGCATGCTAATCAATGTACTATCTCCTGGTCCCCAGAGGTAACAAAAAAAAGTTTTTATTGATTCACTGGGACATACATAATTACAATGCTCCAATGGGGCTGGAGTGATAGCACAGTGGGTAGGGCGTTTGGCTTGCATGCAGCCGACCCAGGTTCGATTCCTCCATCCCTCTTGGAGAGCCTGGCAAGCTGCAGAGAGTATCTCTCCCTCACGGCAGAGCCTGGCAAGCTCCTCGTTGATGTATTCGATATGCCAAAAACAGTCTCACAATGGAGACATTACTGGTGCCTACTCAAGCAAATCGATGACCGGGGGGACAGTGCCAGTGTACATTTTCTGCCACCAATGTTCCCAGTTTCCCTCCCAAAACCACACCCACCCCTAGTCAGTCTCTATGGAAGACATTTTTCTTCCCTTTTTTCTGCCCCCCCCCCTTCTATTTAGGCACTGAGGTTTGCAATACTGTTACTGAAGGGGTATCATGTGTATCACTTTACCTCTTTTGAGCACCCAGGTCTCATCCAGAATGATCATTTCCAACTATCACTACCATAGTGGTCCCTTTTCTGTCCTAACTGCACACTCCCCACTCCCCATGCCTCTTGTGTGACCGAGACTTAATCTTGAAAGCTTTGTGACTTTTCCCACAGTGGTTCAATAAATAAATATAAGAAAAGGGGGGAAAAAGCTAAAAAAAAATTATAAAAGCTTCTTAAAATGTGTCAGTCATGTATTTGTGGATTTATTTTTGTGATGGTAAAAAATTAATTTGTTGAAAAATGAGTGTGGGTAATAAATCAATTTGTTCACATATTTTGTAAAGATTACAGTTTATTGCTGATTTATATACTGTTGATTGAATACACTAGAAGATGGTTAAACTAGGATCCTAATGTGCTTGACCAATAAAATTATAGCCTTGATCTCTACAAAAAAATAAAAATAAAAAAAAGAATGCCCATATTGTTTTCCAAAAAGGCTGAACCAATCAGCATTCCCACCAACAATGAAAGAGAATCCCTTTCTCCCCTCATCCACGCCAGCACTTGTTGTTCTTGTTCTTTTTGAAGTGTGCCAGTCTCTGTGGTGTGAGATGATATCTCATTGTTGTTTTTATTTGCAACTCCCTGATGATCAGCGAAGTAGAGCAGGTTTTCATGTGATTTTTGGCCATTTGTATTTCTTTTTTGAGAAGATTCTGTTCATTTCTTTGCCCCATTTTTTAATGGCGTTGGAGGTTTTTTTCTTGCACAATTCTACTAGTGTCTTCTCTATCCTGGATATTAACCACTTATCAGATGGGTATTCTTCCACATTCCATGAATTCTCTCTGTATTTTGGTTACCTGTTTCTTTTTTTTTTCTTTTTTTTTTTTTGGTGGGGGGTCACACCCGGCGATGCACAGGGGTTACTCATGACTCAGGAATTACTCCTAGCAGTGTTCAGGAGACCATATGGGATGCTGGGAATTGAACCCAGGTTGGCTGCGTGCAAGGCAAATGCCCTACCCGCTGTGCAATCACTCCAGCCCCATTGGAGCATTGTAACTATGTATCTCCCAGTGAATCAATAAAAACTTTTGTTACCTATGGGAACCAGGAGATAGTACATTGATTGGCATGCCTAGCATGCCCCTGTGTCAGATTCAATTCCCAGCACAACATGGTCCCTTGAACATCACCAGAAGCAGCCCTGGAGTTGCCCAGGTACCACCGGGTGTGACCCTTGTGGCCCCCAGCACTGCCAGAGTAGCCGCAGTATATTGGCACCATAGAGCACAGGAAGTACCTACATCCCCATGTCTTTGCAGTGAGCTACCAGCCTGATTGGCTGAGATGCTTGTGTCCCCCTCATCATCTCCCCAGCACTGCTTGAGGTGCCTCCTCTCAAATTGATGCATCTAGTAGTGTCGGAGAGAAAACTAGGGATAGAAATACAGACTTAAACATCATGACAGAAGATGGTCACAGTTAAGATGATCAAGTGCACACACACCACAATTCCTGACTTGTGGCACGTTCAGCTACAAATATTGCTCATATCTCTTATACATCTATTCAGGATTCATGCTTATAGGAATAAATGATGTTTTAATAAATTTTAAAGGACACGGTTACTTTCCAAGAATTATCCCCAGCTTCTCTCTGTCTTTCTTCCTTATTTTCCTTCTCTCCTGTTGTTTTGTTCAGTGTGTGGATAGATGTGTTTGTGTAGTGAGGTTGCTTTAGCCTTGGGGGCAGGGAAGGTACTACCACATTTTCTGGGAGTCTGTGTTTGAATAGTATGTTTAATGTAATTTTGTTTGAAATGATAATGGAAGCCCATATTACAAACTGCTAAATAAAATAAACATAAATATTTTAATCTTCAAAACACTGTTTTGGAAACACTGATTGGAAAACACTATTTTAAAGGGCTTAGTATCAAAGTGAGAAAAGTCAACTAGAGTTTGTCTTAGTGTGGTTCTTAAAATAGCTTTTAAAAAATAGTTTTTAATAATTATTGTTTTCAGTGTAAACTTAGACAGTATAAATGAATACACATACACAACTGAATGAATTTTCAAACAGTAAGCATGTTATGTAATTTAATACCAAGATTAAGAAACAGATCATTATTGGCATCACAGAGGCTTACATTCTTTTTTGATAAGCTATAAACCACTCCCAGATCATTTTGAAATTCGTGAATTTTTACTCACTTCTCTTGGCTCCAGTCATTACTGTTTGCAGAATCTGAGGCCACAAGAGGTTAAAACAACTTGTGAAAAGGAGGAAGTAGGAATAGAAAACTAGTATGTATTGAAGAGTTATTATTTTCTAGCTACTTGGCTAGGTGCTTTCTGAGCTAATAGATTTAAGTTTCCTATAGACACATCTTCACTTTGCAAACAAGGAAAGTGATGCCTAGAGAGAAGTTTAACTTATTTAAGATCTCAGTGGAAGCCATAGATTGGAACTCAGGTCTACTGACCTTTAGGGCCTTTCACTTTTCATTGCCTTTTGTTGCCTCTCAAATGGGATGAGGGAGGTGGAGGCTGTGGGGGGTATTATTTTCACTGATCTTGTTATTAATAATTGTATTGCCAGATTGTCTGTAGAACTTCATTTGTTAATATTTCAAATGTCACTACTTAATTGAACACCGGTTTGTGTTTTCTTCCCTGCTTCACCTGTTCAGTGCTTCGGGCACCGTGTACACTGCAGTGGATGTGGCCACAGGACAGGAGGTGAGTACTCACTGTCCCAGATCAGAATACAGCATAAAAGTGACATGAGGAGGTTTACAGATTTTGAGAAAAGTGTGAGCAGGACACAGATTAGAGGAAGTAAGAGTGAGCTAAATGAGTTGGGAGGTTATTTTGTAAATCCAGGCAAGAGAGATGGTTTGGACTAAGGTAGCAGAGTAGAAAGGAATTAAGTGGATTTGAGAGATACCTAGTAAGGAGGTACCATTCACAAAATTTGATGACTTATGAGCATAGTAGTCAAGAAAAGAGATGAAGATATAACTGTGAAGAAGTTTCTATTACCTCTGAGACATCCTGGAACGCCTTAGCAGGTAGTTATATAAACTTGGTACTTGAAAGAGAAATCTGATACAGAAGAGATTTAAACAGATTTCTTTGGTCTCTTAATCTCATGGTTCTTCCATGACTCCGTGCACAGGGTATCGTTAGCCATTGAAGTCCTTATTCGGAGGACCTCTGTCCTCGTTTACTTAGGCTGGGAGAATTCTGACCTGCTGACCTTGTCTACATAGATGAATCCATGAAGGGAATATTGAGTACTTGGAGTTTCCTAGTATTCTCTCTTTTGGTTTTAAAGTGGAATTGTTAGCAGACTGTGGATGGGAGGTTCAGGGCAAGTTTTTGTTATTATTTTGTAAAGTGTAGTCAATTTTATTCTCCTTTAACCACAAAAGGGAGTCTTTGGTTGTACAAACATTACTAGTTACAGTCTTGCCAAAAACTTCTTGCTGGGAAGGGGCAGGTAGCCCCAGAGCTTTTGAGGGGTCTTTATTTAAAATTCTAACACCCAGTCAGAAGACTTGCGGGGGGGGGGTAGAAGACTTGGGGGTCACCTGGAGTCTGGGAAGGTGCCAGGTCTAGGAGAGAAGGCTGCTTAGAGCCTTAGAGCTGCCTCCTCAGAGGGCTTAGGGCAAGTTTTTTGTTTGTTTGGGGCTGTACCCAGTGATGTTCAAGGGATACTTCTGGTTCTATACTCACGAATCCCTCCTGGCAGGGCTCAGAGAACCCTATGGGATGCCAAGGGTCAAACCCTGGTGGGCCAAGGGCAAGGCAAGCGCTCTGCCTGCTGTATCATTACTCCAACCCCCCAGCAAGTTTTTAGTTTGAATAATTCTGGGCTTCGAAGGATGAGAAAGGGCCCTCCTTTCTAATGAGAATAGCCAGGCTCCCGAAAGAAGCTACTAGGCCTTGCTTGGTTGGGGTTTTGTTTGGCAATTGAAAGCCCTAGGTATACTGGATAATTCCCCTATAATGATCAACAGATATTTTTCTGTTCTCTTGTGAGTTTAACAAGCATCTAAGTCAGATATTGAGGTTATGTAAAGGGCAAATAAACTTCAAAAAATTATTTTTATTAAGGATTGTATCATCAAGCGTTTACTAATATTCTTTAAGGTGAGAATCCAGTGACCTAAAATTCTTATCTTAAAGTTATTTGGCCTTAGTTTGGACTTTGTACTTCCCATTATGTTCTTAGAAATATCGTGGAGAATTGGTAGGAGCCTGGGTTAAAATACTGCTGCATGGGGAAGATTAATATCATTTTTGCATTAGAGGCAGAGACAGAAGGTAGGAAGTCGCAACAAACATAAGGCAAACCCTATGAGGTAAATAATATTATCTCCTCTTTACTGATGAGTAATTTGAGGCTCAGGTAATTTGAATAACTTTTGTAAAATTCTGCTACCAGTAATTAGTGACAAATGGGTCAGATTTTTTTTTTTTACTTTTTAATTTAATCACTGTGAGATAGACCATTACAAAGCTGTTCATGATTGGATTTCAGCCATACAGTAGTCCAACTCCCATCTTTCATTAGTATACATTTCCCAGCACCAGTGACCAGTGTCCCCAGGTTCCCTCCCATTCCCCCCCCCCCCCGCCTGCCTCTATGGCAAGTGCTTTTCTTCTCTCTCTCTCTCTCTCCCTCTTGCTTTCTCTCTCTCTCTCTCCCTCTCGCTTTCTCTCTCTCTCTCTCTCTCTCTCTTTCTCTCTCCTTTTGGGTATTGTGGTTTGCAGTATAGATACTGGAAGGTTATCAAGAATATCCCTTACCTACTTTTAACTCAGATCATGTCCAGCATGATCATTTCCAGCTATTATTGTCATACTGGTCTCTTCTCTGTCTTACCTACCCTCAGCCTTACACACACCCTCAAATATATCATCTAATCGTTGATAAGGGGGCAGGAAATATAAAGTAGAGCAAGGAAAGCCTCTTTAACAAATGGTGCTGGCAAAACTGGACAGCTACATGCAAAAAAACAGACTCAGACCTCTACTAACACCATGCACAAAAGTCAGATGAAAATGGATTAAAGACCTCAACATCAGACCAGAATCCATAAGATACATTGAAGAACAAGGTTGGAAAAACCCTCCACAACCTTGAAGCTACAGGTATCTTCAAAGATGACACGCCACTGACCAAGTAATTGAAAGCAAAGATAAACAAATGGGACTGTCTTAAATTAAGATTTTTTTCCCTTCTTTTTTTAAAAAAAAGTCAAAATATGTGCATTCTGAACTGCATGGCTACAGAAAAGCTTGGTTTAGGCACTTTGGCTCTTTGTCTTGTTTTTAGTGTCTGGAACCTTGCAATCTTTGATGGAAGACTGGCTGGTAAGAGTTTCTGAAAAACCGTAAAGGGCAGGTGAGAGAAAGACTCCATGGTGTGCTTTGCCTCCCTGATGGTCAGAGACTAAGAATGGAAGCAAGCCCATGGGTGGCTAATGCAGTGTGGTCGGGAAGGCTGCAGTTCCTGTCTTGTGACTAGAGATGGAGAGGGGTTGGGAAATGCCTTGCCGCCTTGTGAAAGTTTATTGGCACCTGTCCTGCTATGAAGAGAAGAGCTGTTGTCTGACACTACTTGGAAGAGTAACTTGTGCTAGGAAGTTTTCCAGTTATAGACCCAACAGTTATTTTTCCAGCCCTTTTTAAAATTTATTTAATTGAATCTCATCAGGAGATACAGTTACAAAGTTGTTCCTGATTATGTTTCAGTCATACAGTGTTTCTACACCCTTCCCGCCTCCAGTGTACATTTCCTACCACCAATGTCCCCAGTTTCCCTGCCACACCCCAACCCCCCAGCCTGTCTCCCCCCACCACTTGTGGCAAGCTTCCAACTGTGGACTAGTACTCCTGGCCCTTGATTCTACTGCCCTTGGATATTAGTCTCAGACTACATTTTTTTTTAATATCCCATAAATGGCTATAGTCATTCTGTCCCTCTCCCTCCGACTCATTTCACTCAGCATAATACTCTCCATGTCCATTCATTCATTTTTTTCTGGTGGCTGGATAGTATTTCGTTGTGTAGATGTACCATAGTTTCTTTATCCAGTCAATCATCTGTTCTCAGGCACTCGGGTTGTTTCCGGGTTCTAGCTGAATAGTGCTGCAGTGAACAATGAGATGCAGATGGCTTTTCTGCAGTATGTTTTTTGGGCCCCTGGGGTATATTCCCAGAAGTGGCATTGCTGGGTCTAATGGAAGCTCAATTTCTAGTTTTTTGAGGAATGCCCATACTGTTTTCCAGCCCATTTTTAAGCCTCTGTTAACAGACTGTTGGAGATTTTGAGTTATAAGAGCCTGTGGGCAGTGATGACTTTTTTCTTTGGTATTTATCTTATGAATCTTGATCTCAATTATATTATCTAAAATTGCAGGTAATGATTTTTATTTGGCACAGTGTGGTTAGGGTTTTTTTCTGAAATGATGTAACTTGTATATCTAACGGAGCACTGTGTATACACTAGTGTTTTCTAGTGCGTAATGGTAGGCAATTGTTTGTTCCTCTCATTCCTTGTGGCTTTATTGTCACTCTTTCTGCCTCATCCCAGATACCTTCAAATGCAGAATTGCATTTATTATTGTTTTCACTGTTTTCTTAATTTATAATGTGAATTCCATACTTATATGTGAATTATACAAAAGCTGCTCATTTAGTTCTCAGAACTAAATGTGAAAAATGAACTCAGGGCTGGGAATATGAGCCTTAGTGTACTGATGAAGAAACTGAGGCTCAAAGAGGTTATGGTTGGTCAGGACCAGTAAATAATATTTTCAGGTCCAGAGCTTAGTGGACCTGAGAACTTAAGTTTTCAGAACTTAAGTTCATTGTTTTTTCTGTTGCTGTTTTATGAAAGACCAACTGAGTGGTTTTATTTGGTTTTGGTGTTCTTATCTGTTAAGCAAGAAAAGGAAATACCTGTAAGGAATAAAACATCAACAGATAGTTTGAGTTCTATTCTTGTGAGTATACATGGCTGCTTGCTGTTGCTTTTTTGTGTTTTAATAATTTAAAAATATCAATATATAAATTCTCTTTTCCTCCTCACTTCCACAAATATTGTTGAACACCAACTGTGTGTCAGGCCCTTTGTTTGGCAAGAGGGATTCTGAAGTTTCAAATGAGCTCTCCCATTTCTTAAGATATGTACTTAGCTAGTCATTAGGCAAGGTAGCATGTGAAGTATTAACAACATCTGGGACCTTAAAGAAGGGGAAAAGCCAACCTGGTTGACCCACATAAAGCTTAAGTTATTTCTAAGCACATGGAAATGATGCAAAATACTTCAGATGGGAGGAGATCATGGACTACAGGTGTAAATACAGAGTAAGGAAGAGGTTACCAGATTACGAGAACTTTAAATATTGAGCTAAGGATCATCTCTTGGCACCCAGAAATCATTTAAGATTTTGCACAGGGAGAATATTATCAAATATGCATTTTTGGGAAAATCTGACTCTATGTTTAGGATTCATTGGTATCACTTTGAGAATTCTAATTTTGACTTTCCACAACTGAATGACTATGTTAAGTCACATGTCATATCTGAACTATAATTTCTTTACCTTTCAAAAGGGGTTAATAGTTATACTTAACTCAGAAGGTGTCTCTGAGGATCAAATGAAATAAACTTAAAAGCAAGTTATATCAAACCTGACATATAGATGAAAAGTACCTTGAAATATAAAGTATATAATATTTAGTTTATTTCCTTTTTTGTGAGGTTGGGAAGGAGGTCATGCCACACCTAGCAGTGCTCAGGACTTAGTCCTAGCTCTGTGCTCACTTTGATGATGCTTGGAGTATCACGTACCAGGGATTGAACTGGATTTTGCTTCACACCAAGCAAACATCTTAACCCCTGTCTACCTCAAGTTCCTATAAATTAAACTCTGTCATGCATAAACAATAGGGATCTTATCACCTGTCTCTCTTCTCAATGTGATTAGCTGAATTTATTTTTAAAACCAAATTCAGCGTCCATTTATGAAGCCTCTCTTATATTGCCATATAGAAATTCCCTATTTTGTGTTTCTTTAGAACTTAGAATAGATTTTTGTTTTATTTTCTGTATATTATGATTTTTGTTTGTATGTTTTTGTGATCATATCTGATGGTGCTCATGGCTAACTCTTGGCTCTGTTCTCTGCTGGCAGTGCTTGGGGGACCATATGTGATGCCAGGTAAAATACCTGGGTAGTATGCAAGGGAAGCACCTTATCCTCTGAACTATCACCCTAGTCACTGTATTATGATTATTTAAAGTATTTTTCTAATATAAGTACTTTGATTCCCAAGCTTAGGTGCACATCAGAATTCCCTGAAGGTCTTTTTAACACTCCAATTTACTAGATCTTCCTGCATGGATCCTAAATACTTCCATTTCCAACAAACTCCCAGTGATATTGTGGCTTCCAATCCAGGGGCCTTACATTGACAGCCACTGATCTATATTAATTCATTGTGAATTTTTCAATGATTCATTTCCAACACCATACTCGGAGGAGGTGCTCAGCAAATGCTTAACAACTTTGGTTATTGCATGTACTCTGATTTCAGGTGGCCATTAAACAGATGAATCTTCAACAGCAGCCAAAGAAAGAGTTGATTATTAATGAGATCCTGGTCATGAGGGAAAACAAAAACCCAAATATTGTGAACTACTTGGACAGGTAAGAAATGATAGTTATGTTAGAGAGATGGAGCCTTTGGAAGTGATGGTGGTTGAGTGGTTAGAAGAGAAGACACTACAACTCAGAGCGACTTCCCTTTAAGAATATTCTGTAATGCTTTCCTTTTTGCTTCTGATCTTGTGTAATGCTGGACACCTTTAAAAAAATTTTTTTTAATATTTTTATTTTAGGGGCTGGAGCAATAGTACAGCAGGTAGGCATTTGCCTTGCACGTGGCCGATCTGGGTTCGATTCCCAGCATCCCATATGGTCCCCTGAGCACAGCCAGGAGTAATTCCTGAGTGTAAAACCAGGAGTGACCTCTGTGCATTGCTGGGTGTGACTCAAAAAGCAAAATAATAATAATAATAATAATAATAATTTTCTTTTATTGAATCACCATGAGATAGTTACAAAGCTTTCATATTTGAGTTTCAGTCATACAATGATCAAACAACCCATCCCTCCACCAGTGTACATTTTCCACCACCAATATCCCCAGTATTCCTCCTTCCATCCGAACCCTACCCCTGCCTTTATGGCAGACAGTTTTCCCCATGCTTTCTCTCTACTTTTGGACAATATGGTTTGCAATATAGATACTGAGAGGATATGACATTTGGTCCTTTATCTACTTTCAGTACACATCTCCCATCCCGAACGATGCCTCCAACCATCATTGATTTAGTGATCCCTTCTCTAATCTATCTGCCTTCTGCCCCAGCTCATGAGGCAGGTTTAATGCTGGACACCCTTGATGGCTGCACAATCTTCCTGTCTTAGGTGGAACCCTACCACCTTGTAACTTTAATAATGATCGTAGAACTCTTCATTCTGTCTCAGGAAATCCCTGTAACTTATATGTCTAACTTAAATATATAGCTCTTTAAATCATTCTCTTCCATTTCTTTATCCTGCCCACTCTATTTTGTCCATATTTTCTTAAAATATGATCAATAGTTTCGTTTGAGATTTGATCAGTATGGAAAAAATGATTTTCCTCATTGTAATAGGAATTCAACCTAAGAATTTTACTCATTTTTTAAAAACTTACTGGCTTCTAGTAAGTTTGTAGTCAATTCAAATCAAATTTTAATGTGAAGTTTCCTTTAACTGCTATTTCACTATCTTCATTAAATCCAATTTTGAACATTAGTGTTGTACTTAATTTTGTACCTAACACTTTCATGTAAGATAGGGTTTATTATCTTTTACAGTTGAGGAGATAGTAAGACAGAGTTTTGAATATTTCTAGCATATTAATATGCATAACGATCTTACTCTTTCTATAATCCCATGTTCTTTTCTGAAATTCTTTTCAGAAGACAGTGTAATTTTATTTCAGCCAGATTCCTTGTTCTTCTAAAACATAGGTAATTTTCAGTTCCCTCAAAGAAGAAGGAAGTTTGAGCTTTGCAACACATAATGTTGATAGCTCTTGAAAATAAAGCCTTTTCCTAACTGAGAATGGTTTTCTCTTTATGATGTGGGTCTTGAGTAACTCTGAAGAATTTCCTGAAAGTTATTCATTCTTTAGTTTTAATCTCTTTTAAGAACTATCTAGAGAAAAACTGTTGAAGGCTTTCATAGTATTGGATTATATCCATGTTGTGGAAGAAAGTAGTTTCCAGGGAATTGTTTTAGAAGTTATATAGTTTTTAAAATAGATCATACCTTTGTTCAAATTTCTAGAGGCATTTACTAGGGTCTCTGTAGTAAATAAGGCTGTGTTCCTGGTGCTACTAGTTCCTATTATGGTTCAGAAAAGAAAGAAAGACCTAGAAACTCCTGAGGGAGCACAGAACATTTACTTGAATGTGAAGATGTTGTAGTTGGTCTGTGGTTTTGTGAATATTATGAAGAAAATTCTATCCACATTTATTCATCTCTAAATATGTGATACTCTGAGGTCTTACCTTGAATTTTTTAAGGCAAAATTGCACAATGTGGAGCCACAAAATATAAAAATCCACTACATTGTTTGAACTCAGCTTTAATAATAACATGTCAGGCCCAGGTTAAAGGGCTCTGCTTTGTCAGAAGGTCTCTTGGTTCCTCATTTTACTTGCCACAATAAGTCCAAGTAGAGAGAGATGCCTTCTTAATGTGCTTCGTGAGTGGTCTTACATAAATCTTTTGTGAAAGGTTTTTCCCAGTGCTGAATTCTCCTTTGGTCCAAGTTCCCATATGCTTCTCTCACACAAGAGACAGTAGAAGTCCTAAAGATGGGGTGAGGAGAAGATAACTTCATGTTCAGCTTCAGGTCATGGCATTCCAATATGGCTACTTTATCCTAAGCGAGCCAAATAGCCTGTGAACTTCTGGGCTGCCTGTGGTTTATGTGCCTAATTTGCAGCTGAAAAAAACTGATTTGACAGAATAAGTGATTCTTTGATTTATCACATAAACGTGGAGGAACACAGTCTCAAGTATAACTATAGATTCTAATTTTAGAAAGAATTCTTTTGTGCTATGAATTATAATTTTATTTTTATATTCAGCTAGTGATGTTATTTCTACCTTTTGGAGCTTCACATTATGTTCTGCTTTGTTTTATCCAAGTAAATTCTTACTATTTTTTAAGTTTTGTGATTCTTTCCCTTAGTTTCTGCTTTTCCCCAGTGAGGGGAAAGAACTAGCCGAGACTCTTCTGGAGCTAAGAGAAATGCAGGCCACAGAGCCTGAATTTTAAAAAAATCAAAAAGAGGAAATGCTTATCACTGTATATAGGCTTAGCTTTTGAAACCCAACAATACAGTTCAGTGTTGTCTGTTCCTTGTTTTTGTATGCTTGCAGTTACCTGGTGGGAGATGAGCTCTGGGTTGTTATGGAATACTTGGCTGGAGGCTCTTTGACAGATGTGGTTACAGAAACCTGCATGGACGAAGGCCAGATTGCTGCCGTTTGCCGAGAGGTAAGGCCAAATGCCCAGCTCTCCTTGAGTAGACTCTACCCTGTAGGGTCTCACCTGGGTACTCTGGGTGTGGAAAAGTTAGTCGGACTCTCATATCATTCTCTTATTAGTTGTCTTTTAAAACTTAATTACTATGGTTATTCTTCAGACTGAAATTATATACCATTCTAGAAAATAGAAAATTATATACAGCCAATCACTCATTGATTTCAGATTTCAGCTCTTAAAGGTAAAGTGCTTGGGCCAGAAAGATTATACCACCAATGAGGGATGGGGTAGGGGTAGTGGGAGGGATGCTGGGAACATTGATGGGGGAGAATGGGCGCTGGTGGAGGGATAGGTAAATGGTCATTTTATGACTGCAATGCAAACATGAAAGTTCGTAAGTTTGTAACTATACCTCACGTTGATTCACTAATAAAAGTAAATAAATAAATAAATAAAAATTTAAAAAAATATATTATACCACCAAGTGCCACCAGGAGTGATCCTTGAGCACAGGGATTTACTCTGATTTCGTGCTTTCTTCAATATGCTATAAAGAAAATAAAGCGGAGTATAAAGAAACAAAAGAGATATGCTGTTTTATACAGAGGAAGTTTTTCCACAGTTTTATATGAATAAATATTCAAATAATTTGAAAATGCAAGGTAAAAACTAGGGTAAAATCCTTTTGGGTGAAAGATATAGAAAACAAAGCATAAGTAAGTCTTATTTTCTGCTGTTTGCTATTAAATTTCTAAGAATATTAGAGATATCTAAGTATATAAACAGGTCGATATAAGAAGGGGAAACCCACTATACACTCTCTCTCTTATACACACACACACACACACACACACACACACACACACAAAGCCTCTACAAGAAGTAGTGTCCTCATAAGAGAACCATGTTTTTAATAGAGCAAGCAACAGAGAGTATGGGGGAAACTGTCTGCCATGGAGGTAGGGGGAGAGTGGGAAAGGAGAAGGGGTGTACTGGGGAGATTGGTTGTAGGGAATGTGCACTGGTGGAGGGATGGCTGTTCAATCATTGTATGATTGAAACTCAAATGTGAAAACTTGTAACTGTATCTCACGGTGTTTCAATAAAAATAATAATAAAATCACGGTCACGGTCCTCCCGTTGTTCATCGATTTCCTCGAGCGGGCCCAGTAACGTCTCCATCATGAGACTTGTTGTTACTGTGTTTGGCATATCGAATACGTCACCGGTAGCTTGCCAGGCTCTGCCGTGAGGGCGAGATATTCTCAGTAGCTTGCCAGGCTCTCCGAGAGGGATAATAAAATAGAAAAAAGAAAAATAAAACTACTATAGAACATATTAGCATAAGGCAGTACAGAATGTTAAAAGAATTCTCAAGCTAAGAGACAGGACAAGGTTCTGCCAGTGACTTAGAACAAGTCTTTTTATTCGTTGGGAACGTACTTTCTTTATCTTGAAATCAGGAGGCTGGATTAATTTATTTTTCTGTAAATCTGTATATTAAATGTCCTTTCACCCCTCCCCCCCTCGGCTCATACCTTTTCAATAGTGCCTGCAGGCTTTGGAGTTTCTCCACTCAAACCAGGTTATTCACAGAGACATCAAGAGTGACAACATCCTATTGGGAATGGATGGATCTGTCAAGCTGAGTGAGTAGGAGTTATACTTTTCCCTCTCTGAGATTGTTACTGAGATAATAGCTAACTTCTTGGTTCTTGTAGATAGCGAGTAAGACTAGCATGCCAACCACCAAATGTCTTCTGTGTTACAGCTCATTACTTAAAGTACCTACATTTCTACAAGTAATGAGCATATGCAGTGACCCCAGCAACTGCTCAACTAATGACCTGTATATATATATATTTTATGTATGCCTGCCCCTTAGTTGTTTTTGTTGTCTGATATATTATGCCATATGTAAATGGAGGGTAAGAAACCAGTCTGTTGGGGCAGAGTGATGGTACAGTGAATAGGGTACTCACCTTGTACACAGGTGGCCCAGGTTTGATTTTTGGCACCCTATATGGTCCCCCAAGTCCTGGCAGGAGTGAAGAGCCAAGAAGTAAACTCTGAGCACTGCCAGGTGTGGCCAAAAGCAAAAAAAAAATGCCAATGTCAATTCCTCTTTTGCAAACCACAGCACCCAAAAGGAGAGAGAGAACAAAAGGGAGTGCCCTGCCACAGAGGCAGGATGGGATGGAGGGGGTTGGAGGGTGGGAGGGATACTGGGATTAGTGGTGGTTGAGAATGGGCACTGGTGGAGGGATGGGTACTCGATCATTGTATAACTGAAACACAAGCACAAAAATTTGTAAGTCTACAACTGTACCTCATGGTGTTTCACTAATAAAAATTAAAAAAAATAACAAAAGCAGAAACAGAAAATAAAAAAGGAAACCAATCAATCTTGATTGAATACAAAATGACTAGTCAGATTAACTGTAAAATAAGCAATATGATTGGATCTACAGTGACCGATTGATCAATTGATCGATTGATCGTCTCTATAACATCCATGAAGATTATAGCTATAGAGGTGTCCACCTACCTCATTTACACTTTAACAGGACTTGTCTCTTTGGGAATGGAAATCATATAACAGTACCTATAAGATTTACCAAAAGTTTTTGTTTTCCTGAAATATTCAGGCTCTCTATATTTCTCAGTATACATAAAGTTGAACTAGTTGTATTAGATTTTTATTCCTCACTTACTTAAACATTCAGTTTTTTAAAAAGTATTTACTGGTTTCCTATCTAAAAATGCAGAGACATGCATTAGGAAACAAAATCCAACCCTCTGCTCTCAAGATAAGTACAGGCCCAAAGTGGAAGGTTGGAAAGCAGTCGCAGAGGCTAATTGAGAGACCATAAAAGCAGCAGCAACCACTAGACTCTTGTCAATCCAAAGAGCATTCAGGCTGACGATGGCAGTAAAAAGTAGGATGGGCACTGCAAACTTGTTAAGGGGTTAAGAGGACTTGACTCTTACCAACATGCACCAAGATAATGGGGCAGCAAAGTTTATAAATCAACTATAAATGTAATTGAAAAGATTAATTGATAGTAACACTATAATAGCGGGAGATTCTAATACACCACTCTTGATATAGCATAGATCAACTGGACACAACATCAGTTAGGAAACAAGAGCTCTAAATGTGGAATTGAAAAATTGGAGATTAATTGACAAATACAGGATCTTCTATTCCCCTAAATCTAAATACACAGTCTTCTCAGTGTACATGAAATATTCTCCAGGAGAGACCACATGCTGGAGCTCAATTTGCATGTCATAAAGTTAAGGAATATAAATCATATCTATATTGTTTTCAGACCACAGTGTCATTAAAGTAGAAATTACCCATAAGAAGAATAGTTAGGAAAAACTCAAACACCTGAAAAAACTATTAGGTTATGGAGGCTACCAAAAGAAGTAAAAAGATTCCTCAAAATGAAAGAGAATGAAGACATGTATGGTCACCTGTGTTAATTGCGGTGCTTACTACAGTGGACAGGATATGGGAACAACCCATATTCCCTTTGAAAAACGAATGGGTAAAACATTGTGATGGGTGTTCATAGTGGAATATTGTACAGCATAAGGAAAGATGAAATCTTGTAGTTTGTTGCAACTTGAATGGAACTGGAGGACATCGTACTAAGTAAAATAATTTATATGTAGGTCAAATACTGGATGGACTATGTTCATCTGTGGTGTATAGAAAAATAGAACAAGTGACTACATAAGATAGGACAACTACAAGCCCTATGTCTTAGATCACAAAACTGATATTGCCAAGTAGCTGGGGGAGGGACAGAAAGGAAGAGGGAGAGTAGAGGAAGGCTGAGCACAGTGGTGGAGTGTCCTGGTCACTTGATGGTGGTGAGGTGCAGTAATTGTATCAAAATCATAAATGTTAACACTGTTATAGCTATGTTACTAAGTATAATAATAAAAGGGTTTTTTTTTTTTTTGCTTTTTGGGTCACACCTGGCGATGCACAGGGGTTACTCCTGGCTCTGCACTCAGGAGTTACTCCTGGCGGTGCTCAGGGGACCACATGGGATGCTGGGAATCGAACCCGGGTCGGCCGCGTGCAAGGCAAGCGCCCTACCCGCTGTGCTATCTCTCCAGCCCCCGATAATAAAAGTTTTTAATAAAAAATGTAAAAATATTTATTTCATGCCCACAGCATTAAAAGCATTAAAAGCATCAAGGATACTTTTGCCCATTTTTAAGTAGCTCTCAGTCAAGTATGGAAGGCATGACATAAATATTTAACAAATATTTTATGTAATTTAATTTATTCAGCAAACTTCTACTCAGTGTATATTATACTGCTGGACAGTCCAGCAATAAAAAGTAAGAAGAAAGTCCTTATCAAAGATTTTATAACTTGCTTATTTTTGGGGGAGTTGTTAATTATTTCTAATTTTTTTTAGTGCTCTCTGACTTTTCCCATATTTTCTCTTATTTATTTATCATCATGTTAAAAGGTTATAATATTTTAATTAAATCACTGTGAATTACTGAGCTACAAAGTTACTCTTTATTAAGTTTCAGGCATACAATGTTCCAACACCAATCCCTTCCCTCCATAAATGTCCCCGGTTCCCTTCCCACCTTTTCCTTCCACCATTGTCCCTGACCTGTTTTCCCCACTCTCCACACACACACTCCAGTGGCTGTCTTCCTACTTCATTTCTACTGCATTTGGGCATTTGTTACTCTCCGATAAAGCTTCTTTATACCTCACAAATGAGAGAGATATTCTGTCTCCCTACCCCACTGATTAACTTCACTCAGTATGAAACTCTCCAGAACCCAGAACCATAGAAGCACTGAAGAATTGCATACTTTCATCTTTTGTTATGGCCAGGTAGTATATGGCCCATTGTGTATATGTACTATAGTTTCTTTATCCAGTTTTCTGTCCTTGGGCACATGGGTTTTCAGAGTTTGGCTACTGTGGATAGTGCTACAATGAAAATAGGAATGCAGATGTCTTTTCTACATGATGCTTGGGGACAATAGAGTATATTCAAGGAGTTAAGTTGTCTGGTTGAATGGAAGCTCAAGTCCTAGTTTTTGAAGAATGCCCATATTATCTTTCAAAAAAGCCTGGACTAGTCGACATTCCCACCAACAGTGAATGAGGGGCCCTTTTTTCTTGCATCCACACCAACATTGGTTGTTTTTTTGATGAGTACCAGCTCTATAGTTGAGGTGATAACTTATTGTTGTTTTATTTACATTTTCCTGATGATTAATGATATTAAGAATTTTTCATATGTCCATTGTCCATTATATTTCTTCTTTGAGGAAGTTTCTGTTCATCTCTTCTCCCTATGTTTTGCTAGGATGAGATTTTGTTGTTGTTGTAAAGTTCTACCAGTGCTTTGTATATTTTGGATATTAACCCTTTATCAGATGAGTGGTGAGCAAGTAAATTCTCTCAGTTTGTTCTTTGTATTCTGGTCATCATTCCTTTGAGGCACAGAAGCTTCTTAATTTAGTGTAGTCCCATTTGTTTATTGTTGTTTCTACTTGTTTGGTCAGTGGCTTTTTAATCCCTGTAGATGTGTCTAGCTTCAATGTCAAAGAGACTTCTGCTTATGTTTTCTTCTATGTACCTTATGTATTCAGATCTGATATTGAAATACCAGACTAGTTTTTGAAAAACTTTGATCCATTTTGACTTGACTTTTGTGCATAGCATTAAAAAGAGGTCTGAGTTCTTTTTATTTTTGCATGTTTCTGACCAGGGGGATGAAAAAACCCTGTATTTGTCAACTTGTCGACTAAGCCTCTGTCTTCCATTTCTTCTTTCAAATCTAGTATTTTCTTCCTTATTTTCTTCTTTAGTGTGTTGATCAGGAGGTGATAGGGCTGGTATTGAAGTCTCCAACTATTATTATGTTGCTCTTAGTGTTTTCCTTGAAGTCTGTTAAAGGTTATTCTAAGTATTTTCTTATCCCTCATTTCATTTATATATGTTTAGAAGTGTGAATTCTTCCTGATATACATATACCTTGATCATTACAAAATGACCCTTCAGTCTCTTATCACTTTATTAAGCCTGAAATCAATGTTTTCTTATACAAGTATGACCACTCTGACCTCTCTATGGGATTTGTTTTCTTAAAATATTGTCTTGCAACCTTCAACTTTCAGTTTGTTTGCCTTACTCTTCAAGTATGTTTCTGTTTGGAAACAGAGGGTTGGATTCAAGTTTTTAATCCATTTTGCCACTCTGTCTTTTAAATGATTCATTTAGGCCATTGACATTGAGTGAGATTATTATCATGGAGTTCTGTAGAAGTTTGGCATGTTTATGAAATTTGTCTTGATTCAAAACAGCCCCTTTAGTTTTTCTTGAAAAGTTGCTTTCAAGTCTGTGAAGTTCCTGAATGCTCGCTTATTCATGAAGCTCTGTTTCATTACTTCACATATGAATGAAAGTCTGGTAGGGGAAAGTATACTTTGAGGCCTTCATTTCATTGAGTTTTTTTTTTAACTATATCCCGCCATTGTCTTCAACTCACAGGGTCTCCTTTGATAAATCTGCTGTAAATCTTAAGGACTCTCCTTTGTATGTAACTTTTTTCTGTGATCCTGCTACTTTCAGTATTCTGTATCTTTGGCTTTTCTTCATTCTTTTTCATGTGTCCTGGAGTGTTTTTATTTGAGTCTTGTTTAGCTGGTACCTTTCAGGACTCTTGTATCTGGGAGCATGTTTGACTATTGCTTTTTCATCAAAAATGCCTTCCTGGGCCTCTGAACCCTCAAGAGTTTTATGTCGTTCCCATCGAATTCATCCTAGTGTTCACTTGTTTGCTATTCCTTAATGTTGAAGCTTTTTTATCTCTCTTTCTATCTTTTGTTTTTGTCTGGAGGTTTTCTTCATTTTATCTTGAAGCTCACTGCTTTTGTCCTCAGCTACTATTACTCTGATGCTGAGGCCTTCCAGTGAGTTTTTCATTTAATCTACCAAATTCTTTAGTTCTGTCATTTTTGCTTATTGTTTTCTCATTTCTGTTCTCATATCCTCTTGGCCGTATGTTTCATTGTTTCTTTCAGCTCATTCAACATCCTTCACATTTCCTCCTTAAAGTGCTTCTCTGAAAGTTTATATATCTGGTTAGTACTTAGTGAGTCTTTGGGGCCACTCTCTTTGCTCACTGAACATGGTGGGTTCCGTGCTGCTTCTTATTGTGCCTATTGTAGACTTAGAGTGAATCTCTACAGTTAACTGTTGTACCCCTTCACATTACAGAGTTGTCTGGTTAGATGAGCTGGTTGTTGCTTTGTCCCCTGTCAAATCTATCCAATGTCAATATTCGTTACTCATTCTGGGTTTCTTGCGTTAGTCCCAGGAGATGTTTTGTTCTGTGTGATGGGTATAATTTTACAAATGTGTTAGTAGTTGGTCTATGATTTCCAGATTTTATAGATCTGGTTGATATAAGTCTGAGTGATTCCACCTACCTGGGTACACAGTGAGGCTAATTATTTTTGCAGCCCTGGGTGTATGGCTACTCTATTACAGGATTTCAGGACAGTTTAATACCTCTGTATCTATATAGAACACATCCGCTATCTTCATTTGGTATTATGATCTCAGTATCAAAAAGATTTCTTTACCTACTTCCTCACCTTGCTCAAGAATTCATAATTTATATATGTAATGTGAATGACTGATGGCAGAACATTTTGTTAAAATGTTACAGAAACCAGTAGTCCAGCCAAACATGATGTGTCACAGATGGATGGACAGCTTATTGAAAGAGTTTTTTTTTCCTGTTTGGGTCAACCTGATGATGCACAGGGGTCACTCCTGGCTCTGCACTCAGAAATTACCCCTGGCGGTGCTCAGGGGACCATATGGGATGCTGGGAATCGAACCCGGGTTGGCCGCATGCAAGGCAAACGCCCTACCTGCTGTGCTATCGCTCCAGCCCCTTATTGAGAGAGTTTTAACAATTTTCCATAGGACACAAGCTAAGAAACTAATGAAAAGAAAGCCTGTTTGACAGTTATTTGGGTTTGGCTGACTCCCAGCTTTAGAGAGACCAGGGATTTCAATATGATAGAGCTATAGGCAAAGCAGGACATTAAGGGATATAATACTTATAGAAGAGTATATAATATAAATCTTTTTTCCTTTTCTAGCTGACTTTGGATTTTGTGCCCAAATCACTCCAGAGCAGAGCAAACGGAGCACCATGGTGGGAACCCCATACTGGATGGCGCCTGAGGTTGTGACAAGGAAGGCCTATGGGCCCAAGGTTGACATCTGGTCCTTGGGCATTATGGCAATTGAAATGATTGAAGGGGAACCCCCATACCTCAATGAAAATCCTCTGAGAGTGAGTGTCTCATGTTAAGTCTCATATTAATATATTTGGACTGTACTTTAGTCTGAGGAAAAGGAAGTCGAGGTCTTTTCTTTGAATTTCAAGCAGAGTCTCTATTCTAGATGAAAGTAGGTATTGCTAAATTTAAAGTAATAATGCTCAAAGTAAAGGGGAATTAGCAGTTACTCATTGATTTATTCTGTGATTCCCATAATTAAGATATTTCTCCAAAGATAATAAATGAAGGAATATATTATAATAGGCATAAACAAATGTAATGGGACTAATGTAGTAGGGGTAGGGTGAAGTGTACTATTTTAGTTAGGATAGAGAAAGAAGTCCTCCTTTACAAGTTCTATGAGCTAAAACTTGAAGGAAGTAAAGGAGCATTCATGTGACTGATCATACACAAGAGTTTTCCATGAAGAAGTACACAGATGTCTTGATTTGAGGCCATTCCTATTTCTGGAAAACCACGATGGTATTTTTAGTGTCTAGAAGTGAGTGGATAGGGTGGAGAATGGTAAACATGGTGAAAGAAGTAGCTGATGGCCAGATCAGGTGGCCATGAAAGAATTTTGTTTTCATTCTGCATTCTGAAAGACATCGGTGGATTTTAAACCAAGCAGTAATGTGGCCAGATTTATTTTCAACAAATGATTTTGTCAGCTTATTTAGAAAATAGAAGAGTCACTTTAGATATAATTTAGATAATAATGGTGACTTGATCTCTGTCAGTAGGAGTAGAACTCAAAAGTGGTTGGACTTAGTGTTTTGAAGTTTAGCCATCAGAATGAATTTGGGTGTTAGAGAAAGAAGACTGAATAATAGCTGAAAGATTCTTGACCTTCATTGCTGAAAAAAACTCATTATCAACCAAGGTAGCAATGTGGGGTAGTAAAGAGTTGATTTGAGTATATCATTTTGAAATATCTACTAGACATTCAAGTGGAGATATTCAGTAGAGTTGAACATGAGTGTAGAGTTCGGTATTCAAGGGTAATTTATAGTTGACTTATTTAAAAATTCCCAGTAGGGGCTAGGGATAGGGCTGGAGCAATAGCACAGCGGGTAGGGCATTTGCCTTGCACACAGCCGACCTGGGTTTGATTCCTCCGTCCCTCTCGGAGAGCCTGGCAAGCTACCGAGATTATCCCGCCTACATAGTAGAGCCTGGCAAGATGCCTGTGGTGTATTCGATATGCCAAAAACAGTAACAACAAGTCTCATAATGGAGACACTACTGGTGCCCGCTTGAGCAAATTGATGAACAACAGGAGGACAGTGCTACAGATAGAGGCTAGAAATATAGTTCAAGTGGTAGAGCACATATATGGGAGAGGCTCCAATTTTGAATGAGATACTAGATGAGTAACTGTGCCTGCAATTGAGGTTTGAGTACTGAGTTCTGGGATATTCTACAGTGTTTACAGTTCAGAGGAAATATTAAAAGTGTGACCTTCCTAGTAGGAGAACTTAAAGATGCAAGTTCTGGAAGCCAACAGAATAAAATATTTCAAAATTGGTTCCCATATAAAATGTGACTAATAGGTATATAAGTTAAAACTGAAAAGTAAAAACTGTTCTCATATTACAGTGGTGACTAATGGCCTTGAACATTAGTTTTTGTAGAGTGATAAGAATAAAGCATAATGTGAGATAATTGAGCCAAGTTAGAGAAGTTGTGAAGGAATATATGAACAGAGGAATGGATCAATATTTTGATCAGGACATATTTTCATTAAATTGGAGGGAGGGGGGAGATTTTTCCTTTAAACTATTTTCATTGAGCTACCAGGATTTGAGGCACTGAAATTTACAATGCTGTTGCTCATTTCTTTAAAGATGAAATTTATCTGGCTGGAGCGATAGCACAGTGGGTAGGGCGTTTGCCTTGCACGCAGCCAACATGGCCGACACAGGTTCGATTCCCAGCACCCCATATGGTCCCCTGAGCACCTCCAGGAGCAATTCCTGAGTGCATGAGCCAGGAGTAACCCCTGAGCATCGCCGGGTGTGACCCAAAAAGCAAAAAAAAAAAAAGATGAAATTTATCATGCTTTTATGCTGATGAGAATGATTCAGTGGCGGGGGTGGGGGGGGCAAATGATCCTGTAGAGATCTGAAAATTATAAGAGAACTGAAAATTATAGGAGTGATTTTATTATGTAGAAAAAATAGGATATGTCAGGTTGTGAAGTCAAGAAACATAATTGAGACAGTTTATCTTTTGTAATAGGAGACAAAATAGAATGAATATATGGATACAGACAAAAAGGAGTTTGATAATTTTTGGCAAATGAAAGGGTGATTCTGATTGCTTTTATTTTCTTCCAGTGTTGAAGTTCCTATATATTGCTGATAGACCATCATCTAAACTGAATGCTTCTTACATAGCTGATTATTGAAAGTTTTCAGTGTGTCAATGGAAACTGTTCTGTTGCTTTTAACCTTCAGTCCCAGCTTTTGCATTACATGTACAACAGATTTCCCCCAACTTTAGAATTGATCAGTGGGGTGTAATGGAAATAAACCCTGGGATTAGAGCCAGAGAATTTGCTTTTTTTTCTTTGTTTTTTGGGTCACACTTAGCGATGCTCAGGGATTACTCCTGGCTCTACACTCAGCAGTTACTCCTCGTGGGTGTGGGGGACTGAATGGAATACTGAAGACCAACCCAGGTTGGCCTTGTGAAAGGCAAACACCCTACCTGCTGTGCTGTCGCTCCAGCCCTGGGTTGGGTAATTCTTTCTCCATGTCAAAACCCAGAGCTATTGTTATCATTAAATAAAATAGGGTTTGCATAGCTACTTTTTGAACTAAAGTGTTGCATGCTTGCAAAGGTGTGATATTGCTGTTTTCCTGAGTCTTTCCCAAAAGATGCTTCCTTTTAAGGACCCAGAGAGACAAACAGTGAAGTGAGGTGCTGTTTTACAGAACACTCCCCCTTTTGGGGGGTGGAGAGAGGATAACAGGTGGTGCTCAGGGATTATTCCTGGCTCTGCATTTAGGGATCATTTCTTGCGCGGATAAGGGGAGCATATGTGATACTGGAGATCCAGTCCAGCTTTGCTGCATATAGCCAAGTGCCCTACCTGCTATACTGTTGTGCTGGCCCAGAACAGTTTTATCTAGCTCTTCATTGCCTTGAGGTGAAGGCAACAATTAATTTCTTGTAATACATGGACAGTAGATGTGTAACTTTTCAGGAGGAATGAATAATAAACCTTTAGATTTGTAATCTGTAATAATAATAAACCCTTGGGTCTGGCACATTATTGTAGATCTGGAAACCAAGAGAAACTCCAATTGGATACCAAGGTGATTCTCCATTTGTTTTTCAGGCATTGTACCTCATTGCCACCAATGGGACCCCAGAACTTCAGAACCCAGAAAAACTGTCAGCTATTTTCCGGGACTTTCTTAACCGCTGTCTTGAGATGGACGTGGAGAGGAGAGGTTCAGCTAAAGAGCTGCTGCAGGTAACCGTCTCTGCAGCAGGGGTTTTTAAGCTTGTTTGGCCACCACCATCTCAGATGCCCTCTAGATCTGTACCTTCTTTAAGTTGAGCAGCAGTGCCCTCCATGAGCTCCTGGAACTACTGCTGCTCCCCTGGATCTTTCTAGCACCCCCATTTTCAAGATGATGTTCCTCCTTTGAGAGTCACACAACCTATTTCTTTCCTAGTCCCTAAAGTGAGCCTTGCTTTAAATCATTCTTTAGACTACTTACAATGTGAATGCTGTGTAAATATTGTTAGACTGTATTTTTTAGGAACTGATGACAAGGAAAAAGTGTGCAAGTGTTCAGGGCAGATAAAGCTGTAGATATTATTAGTACATATTTCCACTATGGTGGATGCAAAAACCGGGTAGAGAACAGTTGAAGGCATGACTGGGTAAGGCAAGATCTCTCACATAATCCTTATCAATGTTAGTTACGAACAACATTTACCTCTATCTTATTAATCTGTGGGTCTCCTCTGATTCCTAATCAGAGTATATATTTTTAAAAGGTTTATTTAATTGAATGGAACAACATCAATACTTATCTTCATTAAACTGTTACACTCCGGAACATACTTAGCATTTCTATGCTTGGGGTGACCAGCCACAAACATACAGTGCACACTTGAGGTCTTGGTTCTATCAAGTATAAATCATTAGTCTCATGATCATTTAGGCCTAAAAACCCCTTATAACAGACAGTTCAATATAAGATCCCTTTGCCTTTTATGTGCCATTTGTCCTCGAAACCCTAAGTATTTGCAGACATGCCAATACTATGCTTGGTTTGTGAATGGTGAATGTTAAGTAGATACCACTTATAATAGCTGAAAGTTTAGTGTTTTCTAGAGTTTTTCTTCCTGATATAATATACCCATTCAAAAAGCCCTAGGTTCTTTATATGTGTTTTCACCTATTCTTTATAAAAAAATACTGTGAATTATAGGTTTTCATATTCCCATTTTCACTTGTGAGTGGTGAGGTTTCAAGCATTCAGTAACTTTTCCCTGATTCTATAGACACTAAGTAGTTGATTGTGGATTTTAACCTTTGTCTATTTGGCTCTCAAGTATGTATGCTCTTGTTCTCTTTTGATTCAGAATCTGTTCTTTCTCAATCACTATACAGAAAAGGAAGCTGAGGCCTCCCAGTTGGGTGTTGGATTATGCTTTTTATTCAGTTCCAAGGGGGAGTTGTAAAAACATGTGATCTGAGAAGATTGACTTTTTAACTTACGTTGTAAATATTTAAAACCCCAACTTTCGTAATCTTAAATCAAGAGAGTTTTACAACTATTTATCCTGAGAGAATACATATGTGGACAGGAATGCATGTTGTAATTTCATCAATATCTTTTATTCCTTTCATAATATTTGTACATTGCTATTCACAGTAGTTCTCTGTATCCAATCTGTCAAAAAGAAGTCAAAACATCCTCCAGCAAAGTATATACGTGTGTATGCCTATGTATACATGCATAACTTTGTATCATGAAATAGTTTTGTTACTAAATGTCAAATTTGGTTTCCAATTTCTTATTGTTAGGACAATAAAGGAAATGTATTACTTCCTTTTTCCTTATCAATTAGGAGAAACTCCCCACTTTATCATGACAAAAGGCTTTTCCATTACCAAATATAAGAAAAGTTACTGTTAAGAGGCTCTTGGGTCAAATATAGTACAAGGATTAATGTGCTTGTCTTGTACACAGGTGATCCAGGTTTGATCCCAAGCACTGCATATAGCCATTTCCCCAAGCACTAGCCAGGAGTGACCTCTGAATACAGAGTAAGGAGTCAACCCTAACCAGGTGTGGCACTCCCCCAGAAAAGCTCTTATGTCATAAATGTTTTCTATAAGTGTTACTGATAATGTAGGTGTGGTTTCCATATGATGTTATTTCTCAAGTGTTATTTTGTTTGCTTGTTTTTGATTTTGGGCCACATGCAGCAATACTCAAGGGTTACTCCTTGTTCTGCACTCAGGAATTATCTGACACTGTTTAGAGAACATCTTGTATAAATAGTCACAAGTCTTTTGCTCTTTTTCTCTTTTTAGCATCAGTTCCTGAAGATTGCCAAGCCCCTCTCTAGCCTCACTCCACTGATTGCTGCAGCAAAGGAGGCAACCAAGAACAGTCACTGAAACAATGCCCAGCCTCGCCGCTCTGTGCCAAGACGTCTGTGAAATGCTCATTTCAGAAACCTCAATCCCTGATGCTCTCCCTTCTTTGTCTTGCTCCTCTCATTTTCTGATAGTTCTCTCAAGACTATCCCTAAAAATCAAGAGATCCCTAAAAATCACATGTCCAGAAGAGAACTGCATCTGGAATGACTAATTAGATAATGGCCATTTCCAAATAGGAGATATCCTTCCCATTTGTATGTGTGAAGGTGGTTTATGATCAAGAACTTATATATGAATGAACCCTTAGACTTCTATTTTTGCATAGAAGAAATCCCCCTCCAATCAGTTAGTTCTTTACTATATAAATATATGGTATCATGACATTTCCAATATATAATCAGTTGCAATTTCTTTAGTATATTTTTTTCCTGTTATTGAAATGCCCAGATAGCTCATGTACTTGAAAATTGGAAAAACTGGCTGGGTGTGATCCTACCCCCCACCCTCCACCACCCCACCCCACCCACACACAAAAAAAAGGAAAGAAAAGGAAATATGGAAGAATGCCATAAATTTTAATAATTTGCAAGGGACTTGACATGGTTCATCTTCTGGACTATGACTGGCCCTGCTGCTCTTGATCTGGGAGAAAGCTAGCACCTTTTTCTTTGTCTCAGCTTCTAGCAGCTGTTTTGGAGGATTGGACCCAATAATGCTCCCATGTTGTTTCTTTTGAAATGGTCTTGGCTATGTTCAGCTTTTTATTTCCTACATGCCTGAGGCTTCTGTCCTCTATCCATCTTTGTTTATAACGTTAAGATATTTCCAAGGGTGAGAGCTAGGTGAGAGTAATGTTAGAAATCAGGGAAATTGAACAATTTTCAGAACAAGACTGGGCAGCAGGACCTCTGTATCCATGTGCTCTGTGAAGAACTCCGCCTCTTTCTTCATCTGGAATAAGAAGCTGAAAGAGTAATTCATGCCATCTGATGACTTGAATCAAAGGGAAAGATCTCCAAACCTGGAGTTAGTGTCAGATGGATTTGGTGACCTGAGATGACACTGCCGGCTGGGAGGGGACTCTGTGACCAAGCTGCATGACCAAGCTCTCTGTGGATATAAACGCTTGCACTGAGTATTGGTAATGTTTGCTCCCTTCTTACTATCATTGTGGTTTGGGTCCTCCCACTGTGGTAGGGCCCCTGGCCAGTATTGTGGCTTTTGATGTCAGCTCCTTACCACCTTGTCATGCTTGGGAATACCCCTGCCTTGCAGCACCAATTTTATTTCCTTCAATAAAAGGAGATGAGGATATGACTTGGAGTTTTACTTTCTGTTTTTTCATTCCTTTTCTATTTTTAAAACAACTTCAAACTCAAAATGTGTGTGTATATTTCCTTCCCATTTGTGTGTGTGAGGATGGTTTATATCTCTGTGTGTATATGTATATATACACCCACACACATATGTATATTTACTATGAATCATTTGTCATTATGTTGCATCTACAATGCCCTTCTAATACTTTTATTTTAAATATATACTAATCTATGCTAAAATTGATTATTTTTAGATAGTAACTCAGGCATAATGGAGATTGAGAAGTCAAGTGGTCTGTGTCTGCAAGTAAGAGATCCACAAAAGTTTGTGTCATCTGAAATGCTCAGGACAGAGAGCCAGTCGTATACATTCCTAAGACTGAGGCCTCACAAACAGTAGTGTTCAGGGCAGGAAGGTAGGCCTAGGGGATTGTTAGAGTCTCTTTTAAAGACCTTGGATCAAAAATAAATAAGTAAAGACCACAGGTCCCATTCATGAGGGATGTATTCTCATCTCCAGGAGTGAATTGACATCAACCCAAAGGCAGTGCTGATTCCATTAAACTAACGAGTGATGGCTCATTTAAACTAAGGTCACTGATACCTTTATTCCATATTTGATTCTACACACCTTCTCATATGCTAAGTATTAGGTGTCTTCATCCTTGGAAATAGATAAATGAAGTCCAACTATCTTGTAACTCTGAAGGAGGCTGATGTTGAGGTCACTCTGAGTTCCTGTAAAAGAGTTTGTACTGTGCTAGATGTTATTTCCGGAAGCTGCTAACAGATGAAAGAACACTTAAGCCATAGGAAGAAATCTTATACTTGAATTCTATCAGAATTGTCACCTAGCCAATACCAAGTACTTCAGGCTTCGCTTATTGACAGTGGTCCCTTTGCTACCTGTTAGAGCATGAAGTCAACTTTAAGTTACTAGAAGGAATGAAGGAAAGCTGGAAGCAGCCCAGCCCTTTCTAAAATACCATAGAATTTCTGCTATCCACTAGCCACTCATGAACCTATCAACAATGGGTATTTAGGTTCCAGTATCTAATTATTTCTCTACTTTCTGGGTTGACACTGTATTCTTTTTTTTTAATTGAGTCACCGTGAGATATAGTTACAAAGCTTCCGTGTTTGAGTTTCAGTCAACAGACACTGTTTTCTTGGTTGTTGAAAATACCTGGGAGCAACCCTGCAGCCCTTGGCTTCTCTTTGTTCTCTGAGCATGTGCCAGTGAGAAGTGCTGCCTTTCCATTATCTGGCTGAGGTGAGAGGAGAGACTTCCCTCGGTCCAGGTCAAAGAGAAGATTAAGATGAAGTTATGTGTCCTGTGTCCCCTGAATGTTGTGCTTTTGTCCTCTAAGCTATTTCCATAATCTCTAGCAGATGTGATTGGCATATTTGTTTTTTAAACCATTTTTATTGAGTTACTAAAATTTCAATACTGTTCATCACATTTTTCATGCTGGAGTGATAGCATAGCAGGTAAGGCGTTTGCCTTGCATGCCGCCGACCTGGGTTCAATTCCTCCGCCCCTCTCAGAGAGCCCGGCAAGCTACCAAGAGTACTGTGCCTGCACAGCAAAGCCTGGCAACCTGCCCATGACGTATTCGATATGCCAAAAACAGTAACAACAGGTCTCACAATGGAGACGTTACTGGTGTCCGCTCCAGCAAATCAATGAACAATGGGAGGATAGTGCTACAGTGCTACATCATCCAAACAGCAGACCATCACCAGAGATTCCACTTCCCCCCACCATTGTTCCAAGGACCCCACACAATCCTCTCTTCCTTCATGTAAGCTTAGTTTGATACAGACCTTCAGTTATGATTACTTTGACCATTAGTTATTCTTTATTATTCTATTCAGTGTTTCTTTATAGTATGCATACAAGAGATCTCTCTTTTTATCTTTTTTTTTTTCTTTTTGGGTCACACCCAGCGATGCACAGGGGTTACTCCTGGTTCATACACTCAGTAATCACTCCTGACGGTGCTTGGGGGACCATATGGGATGCTGGGAATCGAACCTGGGTCGGCCGCTTGCAAGGCAAACACCCTACCCGCTGTGCTATTGCTCCAGCCCCTCTCTTTTTATCTTTTTTTTTTTGTGAAGGTGGTGACACCTACACATCTACAGAAAAATAGAGCAGATCACCTGAAATTTCACAAAATTGTAAATAATTTTTAAAAAACCTAAATCTTTTTGACAGACAACCCTGAGCCTCCTCCTCATTGATCCCAGCCCTAAGATCAGGCTGTCACACCATTTGATGTTAGCTCTGGGTCTCTAACCCAGATGTGTGCTACCAGGCACTGGGACCCTGTCCACCCTCACCCGCTCACCATAACTGGGCTCACAGCATTGTCCACTAATGCGTCCATGTGAAATTATTACACATCAGGTTGAAGCTGGTGGGATGCAACAGTCACACTTTACTGAACTTAATACAGTCATCAGTCTCAGTTAAGTAATGGAGTGATGAGTTGAAGACACCTTGTCACACTCAAAGGCACTGCAGTTGAGTCCATCGAAACTCAAACCTGGTTAATGAGGATGTGAAATCAACTCACTACATTGACAATGGAAATTAAGCAAGCACTGGCCAGTGAAATTAAGCAATCTCTAGATAAGAAATTCAACCAGTTCATAGAAAAACTGATTGATAGATTCTATAATCTGTCTAAAACTGAATTTTTTAGTTCAGTTTAAAAACTGAACTAATTTTTAGTTCTATAAGAAACGAACTGAAAGGGAGTACAGTGGGTAGGGCATTTGCCCTTGCCTTGTATGTGGCTGACCTGGGTTTGATCACCGGCATCCCATATGGTCCCTGAGCATGGCTTGAGTCAGAGCCAGGAGTAACCCCTAAACATTGCCAAGTGTGGCCCAAAAACAATAACAAATTGAACTGAAGGAACTAGAGAACATAATAGCTAGCCACAGTAGCAGAATTGCACGAGGAGAGAACAATTTAAACAAACTTAAAGATGAAATTGATAAAGTATCAAAAGAAAAGAGAAGCAAAAGAATTGAAGAGAATGGAAGGTACTTAATGGATAACAGCAAGAGGAATAATCTCCAAATTACAGGCATACCTGGAGGAGAGGAAAAGGGGGAGGGAGAAGCACAAGTGGTGGGAGAGATTATAGCTGAGAACTTCCTCATTCTCTGAAGGACGTTGCTCTACATATTCAAAATTCCCAAAGAGTACCAAGCAAAATTAGACTCAAGCAGAACAATGCCAAGACACATAGTAATCAAAATGACAAAATTCAAAGAAACAGATTTCGAAAAGCATCAAGAGAGAAGAGAAACCTTAAGTATAAGGGAAATAAGATAAGAATCACAGCTGATCTTACATGAAATGGTACAGGAAAGAAAGAAGTGAAATATTTAAATCACTGACTGAAAAAAATTTTAACCTAGAGTTTACTATCGTACAAAGCTCTTATTTAAATAAAGCCTATTAGAATACAAGTATTCAATCACCTTTGTAGACTAGAATCTGATTTTTATAAAATCTAAGTACAGAATCATAATTTTCTCTTCACCTTTACTTTAAATCGTCCAGATGACTTAATAAACCTGAATTATTCTTTTACATAAACACAGCAAGATTGGAGAATTCTCCATTTGAGTTCTCCCATTGTTTATTGAGAGGTCTTGAGAATTGGCGTAGACAGAGCAGGAGACACACCAATAACAGCATTAATATTTTACCTTGTTATGTATATATATAACATATTATGTCAGATTATAATATCTTACATCAGATTTACCCGACTTGGCCACTGTGAGGATGAAACT